CATCATGAGTCCAGGATGGAGTCGTGTCACACTTTCACATAATGAGTCGTGAGTCCATCCTCAGTGACCCTGAACTCTCTAAAATGTTCAGGTGTGAACACAGTTTGTGTCCACGTCTCACCTGTGTGGACTTTTATGTGACACACACACATATACAGTACTGTGCAAAGGTTTTAGGCAGGTGAGAGAAACTGCTTTCAAAAATAAAAGAGTTAATCATTTATTTTTATCAATCAGTGAATGAACAAAAGAGAAATCTAAACCACATCGGTGTTTGGTGGGACCTTTGCGTTCTTCTAGGCACACTTGCACACCGTTTCGCGGCTGGTTGGTTGATCCAAACACCTCAGAGATATAAGCACAGACCTCCTGTGGATGTGGGCTTCCTCACAGCTTTCTGTCTCTGATCGCAGACATATATGAGTCCACACAGGGCCACCTCTGGCCCAGATGTTTCTGCGCTCGGTAGCTCCTCATGTTAGCGGCTCAGTGTGTCGTTCGGCTTTACTTCCTGTTCTGATCAGCTGCTGAGCTGCAGCTCTTCCTGTCTTTGGAAAAATAAAATCACGGTTGTAACACAGGAAGTGATGCACTGTACAAAGTACAAAGTACAAAGTACAGCGCGTCTGCACCAGTTTGTTTGGAATGACAAGAAATGGAGGAAAGAGCGCCACCTGGAGGAACTAGTGGAGAAGCTACAGGTCAGGTAACTACATAACATAAACCTGCCTGCAGAGAATCAGAAATCTGTGAAGGTTTGGTCAAAGGTTTAAAAGCTTCCTGACCTGCAGGTTTTCCCGTATTGTCAGTTTCCTTCTTCTGTGTTGGATCAGGCTCTCCTTTTTTAACGTGCTGCGGTTCTTCGCCTCTACGTGTATTTTTAAAAAGCCCACAAACCAGAACATTCAGTCTTCACCTTGTCCAGCTTTTCATCAGCTGTGTTCATGTGCACGTGTTTAAGCTCAGGTCCACAAACAGTTTGTGGACACGTTGGAGAACACTCTGATTTTGTGGACGTGAAGCTGAGCATCAGGACTTTTCACAGTGAATCATCCACACAGCAGCAGATCCATGACCAACCTTTGATGGGGGATCTCAGGGTTGGCTGAAGTGTGGTCCATTTTCAGCATCTTCTTCCTGTCACATGATGA